AAACAGAGACTTCCATTATGTTGAACCATCTAATCCATCAGCACGATCTCACAAACTATTTACACTGGTGGTTTATTCTGGATCTAGCAAATATCAAATTTATTTCGCTTCATCATACTTGAATACAGTACAGTTTTTGTTTGAATAATAACAAGCCTTGTACTCGAATGTCGTTATCTCTTGCTCAATAATGGACATGTGTTATCTTTGTTCTTTCTTTTCCTGCTCATCACTTGGTTGACAGAAGTAGGCTTCATCTAAGACTAAAATGACACACTTGACATCTTATTTATCCAATGCCTTCTGTGCTTTGCTTGTATTGCTTCATAACCAGCCAACTCTGACCATTAGGCTTTTATGGCCAATAGTAACTTGTAGGCTGCAATCCAAGCACTTGCAGAAGCGTTTCGTAATTAAAATAATTTTCCTCTGATATGAATACCGCATAATTGGCAGGCATATGTGTTTTACTTTACTCATACATCTTGGTTTTGTTAATACACTTAGTGTTCCAGAAGACATGGTTTCCTTACAGTGCTCTACTCGTGAAATGAAATGCAGGATCTTTGATTCCGGCAACGCTGATTTTGGCGATTCGAAGATTCCAAGCACTGGTGAGATTAAAACCAAGCCGGATGGTTGGGAAACTACCTCGAGGGGTCAGGACGGTAACATATGGGAGATCTCACAGCGTGAGGAGGACATCCTTCTCCAAGAATTTGAGAGGCGCATTGCTTTCAGCAAACAGCAGGTCATAATTGACACAATAATTTCTTTGTTAAAGTCTCCAAATTCCAAAATGACACTGAAACTGTGGTTGCAGATTGCTAGCTTCATCAAAACTCACATATTTAGTCGAAGACGGCCTATCGACGGGTGGAAGTACATGATTGAAGAAATCGGCCCCAACGCAAGGAAAGGGAAGGGGAGCGTACAGAGACTGCCAAGTGTGACTGATCCGGCTACGCAGCCGTTCAGGGAGGAGTCGCCTGCAATTGCCTCTGCTGGTTCCTCCTCTCCTCCCCCCTTCAGAGGAAACCGACATTACTGATGTTCAGTATGTGTGCTATCTCCTGCCCATTTTCATCGGTATGGTGGCACACATCCAGCCTTTGTGGTTCCAAAAGTGCACTGGTAGGTAGATTCCTTGTGGAGAAACTTTGTGTATTTTCTGGGTCAGATATGCTTACACTGCTTTTGAAATGCATTGTTTTTGCGAACGTCTATTATTGGGTGATACTCGTCGGTCGCCCAATCTTATGTACGGAAGAATATCTAGAACAAGTAAAATTTCGAGGACAAATCTGGGTTCAACCGTGCATAGTGGACTACTGAATTAGGCCAACGAGCAAGACCAATCTTACACCAGTTCTTGGATAACTGTCGTGATGTTGCTGAGGAGATGGATTTAAAATATACTCCATCTTGGAAAGAGAAAACGGGTTTGTAAAGTATTTTTCTTGAGGTGATGTTGATGTATGCAGGCGGCAGCAAGCTAGATGTGATATTAGGGCGTCACCAACTGGACATCATCAAATTTCCATTCGTAAGTGGAAGGCGTGGGGTGAAGAACGTGGTATAAGTGACACTGGCGCCCCAATCTTTCCCAGTTAGAGGATGGTTTATGGAATTTCGGATGTCCCAACCATTTCACGAACATTCGATGACTTGGTTGGGAGTAAATAGCATAAAACTACTACTTTACAGGTTAGGGTTCCAAAAAACTATCAAAATTATTTTTTTCGCTGATAAACTACCAAGTCGGCGGTCGGCTGTTTCAAAAAACACAAAACCCTAGTTGTTAGCGATTTAAGCCGATTTCTGACAGGTCGGACCCACTCCTAAAGATTCTGTTTGTTTGACTGTTTTGTTTGACCGTTAACTTACATGTGGGACCCACATGTAAGTTCTCTCTTCTTCCTCTTATTTTTTTCTTCTCTCCTTCTCCGCCACCGCACCTCCACCACTGCCGCACGCCAAGCCAGGTCCGACCGTGGGATGGGCCGCCGCACGAACTGCCGCGCCGCCACTGGAACTCCCATCTGCTCCGCGTCGTCGCACGTTGTCGGCAACCGCTTCGCATCGCCGCATCGACCCCTGCCCCGCATCGACATTGAGTCGCCTGCTGCCGGCACCCTCGTCCACGCACCCAGGAGAGCACGCTGGAGCTTGGGGCACCAGGAGGTGGAGGCTGAGCTCCCTCCGCAGCCCCTCCTGCAACTCACAAGGAGGACTCCGCCCGACGCCGGAGCGTCTCCACCCTCCACCTAGCCGGCTCCTCCCGTTCTAGAACGAGGGAGGATGGAGGGGACAAGCCAGCGGTCAGCGACCTGCTTCCGGCAAGCTTCGATGCAGGGGGCGCAGCAGTTGATGCCGCTCGATTCCGTCGGGTCGAGGCAGGCGGCGGGCGGCGGGCGGCGCTGGTATCCCGGCGAGGGGAGGAACGGCGGGGAGGCGGGGAGGCGCAGGGCGAAGGGCGAGAGCAGATCCGGCGACTCCCACACGCGGCGGCGCGGCGCAGGCTGGCGACGGGCGACTGCATCGGGAGGGTGGATCCTCTCTGCCTCCCGATCTGTTTGAAGGAAGAAGACAGGAATATGGATTTTTTTTGTATTGGGGATTTTTATGCGGCTGACACATGGGTCCCATTTGTCATAACGTGCAACTTAACAGTCCACTCTATCCGTTTTCTTACATGCGGGCCCCAACTGTATAATGATGATTAATTGTAAAGCACCGAGCGTTTTGTGTTTTTTGAAACAGCCGACCCCTGACTTGATAGTTATCAGCGAAAAAAATAAATTTGGTAGTTTTTTGAAACCCTAACCTGTAAAGTAGTAGCTTTATGCTATTTACTCTTGTGTTGGAGGTCTAGAAGTAGAAGTATCCATACCTCTGGTCAGAACATTTACGAGTGTTTTGGTGATCCGAATCCGAGATGCCTTGGTGGCTAATGCAAGAAATGGAGGAAGTGAAAATTTCTGTTAATCTTCTTTCTGCGACAACTGTGAGTAAAATGAAAAATGGGTCTTCTTGCTATTGTGCAGTGCAGTTGTTATAAGATTTATCTTTACCGAAGACATGCCTTTTGCGAGCAAAATTACTTCTCAGCCAGGCGCTCAATTTTTTGCTACTTACTTTTAACCAGTGGAATGGGTCTTAATGGTTCTGTACTGAATTTTATTTGCATATTTTAGATGACATGATTCTGAAATGTTTTTGGGATGATACACTGGATTGCCACTCAAGGGCACAATATTAACAAAAGATTTCAATAGGCTTGTACTCCTTATGTTCCCTTTTATAAGACGTTTAGACGACAATTCAGACAAAGCACAAAACAATTCAATGTCAGTTGTCCAAAACGTCTTGTAAAAAAGAACGGAGGAGTAATACATTACAGCTGTAGACTTTACATTAGTCAGGACGCGCATTTGGTTGTGCAAGGTTATTTGTCCTTGACTTATATTCCGGTAACACACAGCAGCAAAGCGAACAACCGTGCTACACGGAATGGCAGCACAACACACCCAAACACACATCCATACCCGACATCAGTACCGGTACCCGACATAAGTAGAGAACAAAAGCCCACAAAGCAATAAAAGAGTAGAGCCCAAAAATAGAGAAACAAGTGCAAAACAAATACAGCGAAACGCTAAAGAAGATGGTGCGGCAAGGCTCACATCTGCTTCTACAAATGATAGGCACAGACGGGCCAGTCAGTTAGCAAATAGAGGTGAGAACAATTGGAATGTGCAAACCATTCATAGGGGCTTCCATTCTCTTGATGCCACTATAATCCTCCAACTTAAACCGCCTATTGCTTCTAAGAAGGATTTCTTAGCTTGGCGCTATGAGAAGAATGATGTTTTCTCGGTGAGGAGCACTTATAAACTACTCCCTCCGTTCACAAATATAAGATGTTTTGGATATTTCAATATGGATTATATACAGACTGAAATGGATGAACAAACACACTAAAACATGTTGAAATGGGTGAACAAACACACTAAAACATGTCTGTATACATCTGATTTAGATAAAAGTTAGAACATCTTATACACCCTCTGTGAACCAAAACCAAAACACTTATTTTGGAACGGAGGGAGTAGCATACTATCAGCATTACAACCAACAAACAAGTCCTGGCACCAGTTCAAGATAAGAGGAGACCAGATTTCTTTGGAAGCTTATTTGGAATGCTCTAGTGCCAAATAAGGTAAAAATATTCGGCTGGAGAGTAGCTTGCCATAACCTTGCTACAAAGAACAATAAATTCAAAAGAAAGTTGGAGATTGACAACATATGCAGTGTGTGTGGCTGTGAAGCTGAAACTAGTTTTCACGCTACGGTCGAGTGTACTAAGCTAGAGCCTTGAGAATGGAGATGGGAAAACCTGGAGCAGTCCTGATGAAGCTTGTTTTAAATACACTGGTCCTGACTGGCTGCTAATCCTTTTGTCGAATGTAAGCAAGGATAGTAGAGGCCTGATCATCATGATTCTCTCGAGAACCTGGCACTTCCTATGTGATGTGCTTCACGATAAAGGGGAGTGTAAGATCTCTGACTGTTAATTTCTTGAGTAGATA